AAGACCCGTGCCACACATAGTTATTACTAAAACTTTATTCATTATTAACCTAACAATAATTCACACTTCCTCCATTCTATTAATATAAATATATACATTTGATAGTAAATTCAATTTATTAATATAAAACTTAGATGTTGCACGGTTCTTCAAAAAATTTATAATGAATAGGGCATGTTGTCACATTATTTTCACTTATTTCATGTATAATAAGTTCAATTCAAAGAAAAATAAGTTTTGCTAAGGGTTATCGAAGAACAACTAAAATGAGTCCTAACAAATTTAGATAAAACAAAAAAGTTCAGTTAACTTAGATACGATAAAAAAAAAAGGTAGATTGAACACACATACTACCTTTAGTTAGTTTTACATTGACTTTAATAAATAAAATAGCATATATTTTATACATATACTATAACAAAGACATTAAGGTTAATACTGCATGATACTCTCTCCATTTCTATATAGTAAATACACATTTATCGACATAAAAATTAGACAATAATATAATTAACTTTTAATTTTATATCTAGTAAGTAGTAGGGTTTTTTTTTTTTTTTAAATTTTAAATTTTTATTTTTATTTTTATCAGTAAGTAGATGAATTTTATTACTCATCAAAAAAGGTTATACAACTAAGCTCCCTAAGGAGAAACTACATAGGTAGGAAGCCTGATCAAACAACTATACAATTACAAAGACACACCCTTTTTACAAAATCAACCTATTTATCCAAGAATTCTGCTGTACAATATTCTTTGCTATACCCACCCCTTGTAATCTACACTTTATCTCAAATTTTATACATTTTGCTACTCTAGGAACCCAAAACACTTTCTGTCCCATAGAGTAGTATTTTTTGCCCTCCAGGTATGATATATTACTATGCAGGTGTATAGAACACTTCTTTGGAAGCTGCTCCTTATTCTACCTATTACTCTGCAGATTGTATTTAGCTGAATACTTTGAGGCCCTATACCAATCCACTGCCTTATTTCAACCCATAGAGTCTTGCTGAACCTGCACTCAAAAAATAAGCGCCTATGATTCTCCATAGCCTCACCACATAGCAGACAGGACTTATCCTGTACTTGAGAATGCAGTCTATCCCTGGTCTTTAGTCTGCTCTGAATAGCCAACCAAGCAATATATTAATGCTTAGGCATGCCTTTCCTCTCCCAAATAAGCTTATCCCATCTGCACCTCTACTGATCATCCATTAGAAGATCATATTGTTTGCCAATTTTATAATATCCCTGTCCAATTAGAGCAGGTTCCATTACACTCTTTAGTGTTAGGATTTACAGCGATTTCAATCAAGAAAACACTTAAATAATGTGTAGGAACAAATCCTAAAATATATTATTACAATTCCAAATTGTAAATATCAAATACTTAACAAAGTATTACAATCAAGTATTTGAATTGTCAATGAAATTACTAAAAATATACAAAGACTACACTAGTGTGAAGAATCAAACTTGTCTTTCCTCCAAACCGACAAAACCAACCATGAACATGAGAATAACAGTGACCACGTAAGTCTCAAACCTTGATACTCTGTCAAAGGCGTGTAAACACTAACCTAAAGAGGTTTATTTCCCCTACAAGGTACTTGGGTTAAACCGGAAATCCTCTTTGAGATACAATTAACAGCAATTTCGTTCTAGTACTAGAAACGAAATCAAGATGACAAATTCACAAAATTTGGTATAATTTAAAGAGTTTTCTCACAAAAGTTTGCAAGAAATTTGAGAGAAAAGTGTGGAAAATTCTTCTTAGGGAGATGAAGAATAATGCTCTGTATTTTTTTTCTTTCATGAATATATCTTTTAATAAAAGACTCAACCGTCAAGAAAAAACTGCAAAATAGGGAGGCGCGGGCGCTCCTCCCATAAACTGCAAAAATTCCCAAAAAGTTAGTGAGGGGCACGGTTTAGGTGCGACCAGCAGCGCGGGCGTGCCACCCAGGCCGCGCGGGCGCGCCATCCTCACCCTTCCAATTTGCCAAATTCCAGAGAGGTACGCGGTTTAGGCGCGCTCTCTACGCGGCCGCGCCAGCCTTGCGCGGGCGCTCCTTCATGATCGCGATCGCGCAACCATCAACACTCTAAATATTCAACAATTAGTCTATCCTTTACAGCATAAATTTGTTTCCAGTACCAACTATAGTCTGCTTTTGGTTAATAGTTCATCCAATTTTGTCCCTTCAGGTAGATTGCATTCACCAACTTCACCCATATGTTTCCTTGATTTTGAGCTAAAGCCCAAACATGCTTCCCCAGGGCAGCCACATTCCAGATTTCAACATTTCTAATGCCCAACCCTCCAAATTTCTTGTTACAGCAAAATTTTTGCCAAGCTATGCTCCCAGGCTTATTACAAGCTTTCCCATACCATAAGAAATCACTGCAAATAGTATTAATTCTCTCCAGCAGCTTTAGGTAGAATCATTATCTGAGCCTAGTAAACTTGGATGCTCATGAGCACAAAATTTACTAGGGTGAGTCTTGCAGCAAAATACAGGTTCTTACTACTCCATATCCTGATCTTAGTGCACATTCTCTCCACTAGGTGTTCACATTCAACAGCAGATATTTTTTTAGTGCAAATCGACACTCCTAGATACATGAAAGGCATCCTTCCTCAAACAAAACCAGTAAGGGTAAGAATTTCCTGTACATTTCTTTAGCCATTCCTATACAATAAACTAAAGTTTTCTCAAGGCTAGCTTGCAAACCAGTAGCCTTAGAGAAAGCCTCAAAACCCTTCATAATTCTTCTAATAGATCTCACTTCACCCTTGTAACAAAGAATTAGGTCATCAGCAAAACAAAGATAAGTCAAACCCACAACTCTGCATCTAGGGTGGAAATTAAACTCTTTAGTTTTGCTCACCACCTTTAGTATCCTAGAAAGATACTCAATACACAGCACAAAGAGGAGGGGAGAGAGTGGGTCACCCTTCCTTAAGCCTCTTTTTGAAGCAAAAAACCCATGAAGAAAGCCATTGATCATGAGAGAAAACTTAGGTGTTCTCGCACAAATCATGACTAACTCAATAAATTTCCTTGGGAAGTTCAAAGAAATCATCATTTCTTCTATGAACTCCCACTCAACGGTATCATATGCTTTTCTGAGTTCTAGCTTAATTAGACACTTAAGAGTTGCATTAGATCTATTGTAGTGTCTCACCAAATCCCGACAGACCATTATGTTATGGATGATAAATTTGCTGTGAACAAAAGCACTTTGGTTTTCAGCAATGACATGAGGCATGAAAATTCTCAATCTCTCACATAAAACCTTTGAAATGCACTTATACACCACATTGCAGCAGGATATTGGCCTAAAGTCAGCGACAATAGCAGGGCATTCTCTCAACATTTTGTGAGATTGAAAGAAATCTTATACTGCTTCACACAATTCATTCCCAACTATGCTCTAGGAATCCTTGAAAAAAGAGCTGCCAAACCCATCCGGACCAGGAGCTTTATTCCCATCTATATCATATAGAGCTTTTTTAACCTCCTCTGTAGTGAAAGGAAGAGATAGACTCTCACTCATTTCTTGAGAAAGGATCTGACCCTTCCTAACAATTGCTGCATTTACATGAGATCTGCTGTCAGATGTAGTTCCCCGTAAGTTCTTATAAAAGTTCAAAAAGGCATCAGGAACCTCTTGAGGATTATCTATCCTGACACCATTAATGTCTTTAATAGAATAAATCCTATTCTAAATTTGCCTTTTCTTCAAAGCTTGATGAAAAATAGTAGTGTTTTGGTCCCCTTGTAAGGTCCAGGTTGCTTCAGCTTTCTATCTCAAATAAGACAAGTGATTCTCTTGAGCTAACCCAAATTCTTTCCTGGCCTGTGATTCAGCTTCAATAGCAGTCAAATTTGTATTAGAGAATGTAAGTGTGTTTGAGCCAATTCAAGAGCAGCAGTAGTTTCTCTGAGCCTCACCTTAACATCCTAGAACCCATTCTTATTCATGTTAATCAAAGCTTTTTTCACACTCTTCAGCTTCTGAACCATTCTATACATTCTGGTACCTTGGACTTGGATATTCTAGGCCTGTCTAATCACATGCTCAAAATCAGGTGCCTTACTCCACATGTTGAAATATTTGAAAGTTTTCTTGTTATGTCCAACCTCAGGGGTAAACTGAAACAATTCCAGAACAGTGATCAAACTCTCCCTTATCAAAATACACCCTCTCAGAGTGCTGAAAACTTGTGAGCCATTTATTATTCACCAATCCTCTATCTATCTTTAAAAACACTCTTCATTCTAGTGCCATCCTACTTGTTATTCCAAGTGAAGAAATTCCCACTATATTTTATATCCTACTGTTGACACTTCAGCACACACTCTTTAAACTCCCCCATTTCTCTAGCTCTTACAGGAGCTCCATTTCTTTCATCAGCCTCCAAAACACAATTTAAGTCACCTAGAACAATCAAAGGACAATCAACCATGGAATGCAGATTATTAATATCCTCCCATAATACTACTTTCTCTGCTGTTGTGTTGAAACCATATACAAAAGTAACAACAAACCTAGTATCAGAGCTCTTGAGGTTCACTTGGTAGTGCATCATCTGACTTGTGCTTATTACTATTCCCAAATCAAACACTCTAGGTTTCCACCCTAGTACAATTCTTCCATTAGGGTGCATGCTATTGTTACATGAGAAGCACCACCCTTCAAAAATACCAAGGTATAAGTTCCCCATATTAGGTGACTTAACCTTAGTTTCCAATAGTCCAACTTTACCACAATCATAAGCTTGAATGACTTATTTTATCTTTACATGCTTACTGGTTTTGTTGGCCCCTCTCACATTCCATGCTAAGATTTTATCCATGTTGCCCAGGGGATGTTCCTTCCCCTGCACCATGGCCAACTTGTGTCTCCACCTCATCTTGTGCCTCCACCTCAGCTTCCTCAAGTACTGTAAAAGAGTTCTCACCAATACCTTAGTAACCACTAGTGGGGTCTACTTCTTGGGCTTCTTAGTAATTTGAAATCCATGTTCCTCATCTTCTTTTTCACTTCCATCATTCTGTAGAGGCTCTATCTGCTTGGTTACTTTAGGAATCCAAGCTTTGTTCTGTATCACCCTCTTCTTCTGCGTTCTCTTTCTACAAGCATCAACACCATGTCCTAGAATCTTGCACTTAGAACATATTACAGGTTTCCAATCATACTTCAATCTCACTTGTGTTGACACTCCTTTCTCATTCAGGAAAGATACCTCATTAGGAAAATCCTGAGATATACTTACCTCAATCAAGACTCTAGCAAATTGAAGCTTCTCCCTCTTAGCAGTTGCCTGGTCAACTTTTATAAATTTCCCAATTTTGCTAACAATTTTGCTCAAAGCCTTCTCACCCCAATACTTCAAGTCTAAGTCCCATATTTGAACCTAGATAGGAAGAAATTGGAATTCCTCTCTTGAGATTTTCACATCAGCCTCCTAAGGTTTCACAAAAACAGGTTTATTATAAAAAAAAACACCTTCCCCCCCATTTAACACTTTATTCCTGTTTTCCATAGTACAAAATCTAACCAGGAAAATTCCCTTATCCATCAGTGAAACTTTATCAACCCCCATTGATTTCCAGATTCTCCTAAAGAAACTCTCAATTACAGTCAAAGGTGGATTAGCCCCACAAACATAACATACAATTGCTGAGTTCTAATAGTCAATTTCATCTTGAATGTCACACAAATCAATATGAACACAATCATTCTCATTAAGCAAATCATTCTTTGTAGGCATAGCATTAGATTGTAATTCAACATGCAAATTCCTAGGCACATCATCGAATTGTATTGAACGAACTGATTTTGGGGTCAGAACAGAGTTATTGAAATCATGGGTACCTAGGTTTATCTTCAATCCCGACTTAGTAGCACTCATCCAATCAGAGAAGTTCCTCCTTACTTCCGATTTCTTCTGCAGTTCTTCCAATGAAGCTTCCGAAGTCAAAATCTGCTCCTGAAGAAAACCTTCAACCTCTGGGTCTTCCATTTCCTCTTCCAAATTCTGCGAAATCTCCTTCGTTTTCTTACTCTTCCTTGATTTCTGTGTGATTTTCTGTTGGCTTTTCTCAATTTTCAAAGAAGATTGAGCTCGTGTGCCCACTGCCATGGTGTTCAAGTTTGCGCTCAAAGTACTCACGCGCTCTTTCTCTCTCCTCTTTTTAGGCTTCGCTATTTGAAAATAATTATTCAAATGAAAGTTGTAGTAGGGATTTTTTTATATAAAATATTATACTTAGTGGATATTTTTATATCAAATATAATTTTTTTCCTTTTTTTGACAAAGGTTAAATGTAAAAATATTGAAATACTTAAATAAATAATTTTTATGCATTTTTATTAATGCTAGGAAAAATATCCACATCACCTGTAATTTATACTCGTAATATCTTTGATTGATTTGGTAAGATTACATACTATGTCATTTTTCAAAAATAAGTGCACTATTAGTAAAGTACTATAGTTAAAGATAGTTAGTTGCAACTTCGTCACTTCGAGTAATAATAGTGTTTATTTTTATAACGAACTTGCCGATAACTTTCAATGTAAATTAATAGAAAAAAATTGAGTCATTTGTTGTGTCTATTTTAATATTATGAATACTGATTAAAATATCAAAAAAAAATATAAATTATTGTGTCTATTTTAATATTATAAATACAAGGTCAATTTGACAATAAAACATTGAGTTAAATAAATATTTGTACGGCTAATATCACATAGATGTTTATCAATGAATTGATTTACGTACAATAACTTTTTTTTTGAAAAAAAATGGTCAACCTATCCTATTAAAATTATATGCTTAATATGTCAATTTGTTGAATATATATTAGGTTGTCAATGAATAAAGATATAGATCTTTAACTAAAAATATGTCAATATAATGTGAAAATCTTTAATTGCTATATAAGTTTTTTTTGAAACCAATAATTGCTATATAAGTTGTCAATGAATAAAGATATAGAAATAATAATAAAGTAAGTTTTTTTGTTAAAATTGGTTTTTGGAGGGAAAAAATAGCACCAGGAAATGATACGTGTCATATCTGGTGTCTGTTTTAGTATTATGTTATTAATTAGTAAAGTACTAAAGTTAAAGATAGTTAGTTGCAACTTCGTCACTTCAAGTAATAATAGTGTTTATTTTTAGGGAAATTATCAATAATACCCTCCAAGTATTGACTTTTATCAATGATACACATCATTAAACTTTCATTATCACCGGTACCCCTAAACTTTTCCCTGATTTACTACAGTAAGCTTGTCGTTAATTAAACGTTAATTATACTTTGTTTTCAGCGTTTTAAAGGTCAGGAGGCTAAAAATACAACATTGCCCCCCTCATTTCATTTCCCTCCAAATTTCCCTTCCAATTTTCCCTCCTTTTTTGTGAAATTTCCCCTACTTATAACATATTCCCTTCTTGTTTGCTCTTCACCTTTCCATCAACGCTCTTCTTTTCTTTTGATTCCAGTTATTTATCTCTGGAAAATCAATGGCTTTGTTTACCAGGGGTTCATCTGGCAGGGCACACCAAAACATCACAACACAAATTTACACTAAAGTTCAACATTTACACTGTACCATGCAAATTCATTGACTTGGAAATCGAATTATATGTCTAAAAAATACAAAATTTAGCACACAAACATGATCGTATGGAAATCGAGATTAAGTAAGAGCAAAATCCAACAACAAACTACACATGTATACATACATTCATTTACACCTAACAATTTAAACCATCAAAATCCAAAATTCCAGAAAGCACTAACCTTTAAAATTCCACACAGTGTTACTAAAATTCCAAGGATTTTGCTTCAATCCAGAAGAAGAATAGGGGAAAGGCGTCAAGTAGGGTTTACAGAAGAAGAAGTAGAACAGGGGAGAGTGAAGAAGATGAATGATCGTTTTTTTTTTGTATTAATTGTTGTTGGTTGGGCTTGGAGGGAGGATTATTGAATGGGGGGCATTTTAGTCAAGTAAATTCAGACAAAAAACTAGTATAATTAACGTTTAATTAACGGCAAGCTTACTGTAGTAAATTAGGGAAAAGTTTAGGGGTACCGGTGATAATGAAAATTTAATGATGTGTACCATTGATAAAAGCCAATACCTGGAGGGTATTATTGATAATTTCCCTTATTTTTATAACGAACTTGCCGATAACTTTCAATGTAAATTAATAGGAAAAAAATGAGTCATTTGTTGTATTTATTTTAATATTATAAATACAAATTAAAATATAAAAAAAATTAAAAAATTATTGTGTCTATTTTAATATTATAAATACAAGGTCAATTTGATAATAACAGTGATTTAAATAAATATTTTTACGGCTAATATCACATAGATATTTATCAATGAATTGATATATGTACAATAATATTTTTTTTTTTTGAAAAAAATTGGTTAACATGTCCTATCAATATTATATGTTTAATATGTCAATTTGATGAATATATATTAGGTTGTCAATGAATAAAGATACAAATCTTTCAATAAAAATATGTCAATATAATGTGAAAATATGTAATTTCTATATAAAGTGTCAATAAATAAAGATATAGAAATAATAATAATAAAGTAAGATTTTTTTTTTTAATTTTTTTTAGAATTGGTTTTTTGAGGGAAAAAATAGCACCAGAAAATGACACATATCATTTTTGGTGTCTGCTTTAGTATTATGTTATTGATTGATGGTGGAAGTATGAGAATATTCTATTGGAAAGATAAAAAGTAGAGAATATTGTATGAAAAAGAGAATAAAGTAAGTAATGATTTTTTGGGTATATGTGTAATTTGCATGGAAAAGATAAAAAGTAAGTAATGATTATGTGCTATTTTTAGAAATAGGCACAATATTTTGGGACACTAAAAAAGGAATACAGGCACGAAAGTATGGGACGGAGGGAGTAAGTCATAATATACTCATGTGAGATCATGTTGAATTCATCTTAATGTGTAATTTTAGAGTATCATATTTTTTTTGGATTTTTTTAGAAAATAACACCACAAAAATCACAAAAATTTGATTATAACACCACAAATTTTCAAAGTTTTATTATAACACCTCATAAAAAATGAAAATTTGATTTCACCACTAGATAACAGTTTCTATGACGGAAAATTTGTGTGGGGCCCACACTTTTGTTTACCCTCCAAAATTCAACCTCTTCAATTCGATTCTTTCTCCTTCATTCATTACCCAACTACTCCTCCCTTCATTGATTTCTCTCTATTAATATTCAACTAACAAAAATTACTAGGAAGAATCAAACCCTAGTCTAATTTGTGTGGTTGAGAAATTCAATTGCAAGGAAAGGTGTTAGAGTAGGAGCGAAACAACTCAACTAAAGTTCGTCAGCCATCTTCGGCAACCATAAAGCTTGGTTTTTTCGTGGTTTCTAAGAGCAACAACAGTAAGATTCCAAAAGAGGTACCTTTCGAACCTTTTAAAGTAAATTCCAGCAATTAATGATGTTAATTTTGCAATATTGTTGTGGATAGTAGGGTAAATTGGGCAAAAAAAAATAAAAATTGGAACCCTAAATAAGTCAAATTGGGTGTGATTTACTATGTGTAATCTGCAATCGAACTTTAAATTAAAGTAATTTGTGTGTAATTTAAGTATTAATTAGTTTAATTGGTTAATTGTTTACTTTAATGTTTGATTTTGGTGCAATGTTGACTGATGTGTGTTGTTGAATTGAGGTTGATTTCATTTTGGAAGTAGTGTGGTTGACCGTGTAATTGGGGTATTGCTATGTTGCCTTTTGTTGGATACTTTTGCATGTGTTTATTGGGTAGATAATGGCTAACCCAGATGGATTAATTGATATTCAATTCAGAGTTAGGGGGGGGGGGCTTTTGTTCCCAAGAGAGTGTAAAAAACAAAGCATTTGCTTTGCTGGTGTGGTGGCTTATGTTATTGGAGGAGGGATGTGATAATGGATAAGATTAATGTGCATTATTTGAGGGAGGCTGATGTACATGGGTTTGTCAGTTATAATGTCCATGTCCTTGTGCAGTATAGATTATGGTACAAACAAAGAGGGAGGACCTTTAACACTGGGAGAAGGGAACTAGTGAATGAAGAAGAAGTTAGGGGGTTGTTAGAGACAGTTAATGGGGAAGGGTATGTTGAAGTTTTTGTTACTGCGGATGAAACACTAAGGCCCATACATTAGGCCCAGCCCACTCCAAAAAAGGCTTCAACAAAGGGTAAGGAAAGTACAGGACAGGCTGTACCACTTAGGAAGAGCCCAAGACTTAATAAAACAGAACATGAGGTCATTCAAAGGGAAGATTCTCTTAAACTTATATTTAGACAGCCAAAGGGGAAAGGGAAAGCAAAGAGTGAAGGGGTTTCTGGTAGAGGGAAGGATAAGGGAAAAGAAAAAGCAAATAGTGAAGGGGTTTTTAGTAGTAGGAAGATCTTGGATAAGGGGAAGGGGAAAAAAGAAAGGTGTTGCAAAGGGATTGGTTTTTAAGGATAATAGTGAGGATAGTGGATCTTAGAGTGAGGAGAGATATTCTTCCACTGACAGGAGTGATATTGACATAGACTAGGAGCCTAGTGAGGAGGAGTATGATAGTGGTGATGAAAAGTGGTTTATATAGAATTCAGATGTGATTTTTGAGAAGTTAATAAGAAGTCTTGGAAAGCATTGCAGAAAGAGAGTGAACTAGATTAGGGGGTTATAAAGGATCCTAGTTCAAGGTTGAATGAGAACTTGGATGTGACTGAAGTTCATATCAAGGAGGAAGATGATGGAGAATCTGATGAGCTAAGAAGCTTAGATGGTTCATCTAATGAAGAGGACAACAATCCTTAGTTTAATGAAAAAACTGACTTCACTAAGCCTATTGCACTTGTTCATAGGCTTAAGTTCAACAATGTTTTAGTGCTGAGAAAGGCCCTAAAAGTGCATGCTATTGAGAATCAATGGCGAAGCCACATTGGAACATTGGGGGGGGGGGGACAACTGTCCTCCAATTTTTTTTTTTAAAGTTATTTTATTTTATTATTATTAAATTTAAGAAAATACAGTAAAAAGGTATAAATAAAATACACTGACATGGTTCACTGGTTGAATTATGAATAAGGTTTACTCTTAGTCTTAGGTTCGAATCTTAACTCTAACATTTCATAGCTTTTTTTTTTCCTTTCTTTTCCTTTTTTTTTCCTTTTTTTTCCTTGTTTTTTTTTATCACTCTAATGTTCAACAATTTTTTTCCCTCCTTTTCCTTATTTGAGGATTTTTTTTTTTTTTAATTTTTGGTTGTTGAATTTCCTTTTATAGTTTATATATAAAGTACTACTTTGTTGATAGTAATTATTAATGGGTTGTTCATACAATTTATTTATGAATACATTCATATCTCCATATTTTTTTTTAATATTCTCTTTAACTAAAGTGTGCTTAATTTTTTTTTTTTTTTTTTTTTTTTTTTTTTTTTTTTTTTTTACATTTCTAACTAATAGATTACTATTAATTAATTGTTTGTAACTAAGTTTTAAATTTTATTTATATATACATAGTATATTTGTAATAATATGATTGATTTGAGAAAGTTGCGTTTATATTATTCGAATGTAACCCAAACTCCTTCATATCTATCATCAATTTGTTTCAGGTTAACTATATTTGACTTTAATGGCAAGGTAATTAATTCGTATTTATCAATTCTTGGATTACATAACTTGAAATTGGGTTTACAAACATAAATTTAATCATCTGTTGGATAATTTTCTTAATATACAATGAAACTTTTTTACTCCTCTTTTATCATATAGGAATAATTGTCAATTCAATTTATGTGATCATTTTTTTTATTGAGATTTTTGTCAAAACATTAAACCTCCGAAATTTGTCCTCCTAGATAAAAAATCCTGGCTTTTCCACTGTTGAGAATAGGTATGAATACTTTTTACACAATGACAATAGTAGGATTAATATTCAGTGTAGGAATAGATGTGGCTGTTAGTTTGACACAAAGATAAGTAGGATGCCTTTGTGGTGGAGTGAAGTGTAACTTCAAGGTGCGTGCAAAGAAGTTAGTCAGACAACAAACTTGGTAAATTAAGTGTATGAGGTTGAAGCATACATGTATGAGAACCAAGGAGAACCAGAAGGTGACTACAGAGTACATTTCAGAAATCTGGAGGAGTTTAAAAGTAATCCTAGTTGGAGGATTAAGCAAATCAAAGATAGGGTGCTGTAAGACCTGGGTATTCAAATGAGCTACTTTAAGGCTTGGCTGGCAAGGTGCAGAGCTAAGTTGATCATTTTTGGTTCAGTAACTGAGCAATATGCAAGGGTCTGGGATTATGGGAAGGCTGTGATGAAGTATAATTCAAGGTCTGGTTGTAATGCGGTAGTAGATGGTATTGATCAGCCTGAGCCTCCCTTGTTTATGAGGATGTTCATTTGTTTAATGCCTTTGAAATATGGTTTCTTGAGAGGTTGTCGGCCAATCATTGGGGTGGATGGCTGCCACCTGAAAGGTGCTTACCAAGGTCAAATTTTAGCAGTAGTGTCCAAGGATGGGAACAACAACATCTATCCTATAGCTTGGGCAACTGTTGAGATTGAAAACAGGAAAACTTGGGAATGGTTTTTGGAATCATTAATGCAGAAAATTGGAAGTGCGGGTGGTTTTGGATTCACCTTCATGTCAGACAGGCAGAAGGTAAATAGTGCCGACCCTATTCTGTGGTGGTGCTCATATAATTTGTCATTATTTTGAATATGTCACTGAATTGGTAGCTATTTGGATGTTGTATGACAAGGATTGGTTGAAGCTCTAGCTGCAATAGTTCCAAAGGCTGAGACAAGGTTCTATGTCAGGCATATTTGGGCAAATTTCAAGCTGAGGTTCACTAGCTCTGTCTTCAAAGAACTTTTTTGGAGTGCTGCTAGAGTAACTACATATGTATGTGCTTAATTCCTTGCTTAATTCATGAAGTTGATTATTTATTGTTGTGACACTTGCTCATGTACTCAATTTCTTACTTAAAGTCACTTAATGGCTCATGAACTCAATACCTTGGTTATTAATTACTCATGAACTCAATGCAGTTATTAGAGATGCTAGAGACAAACCTATCCTCACCCAGATGGAATGGATGAGGAGGTACATGATGAAAAGGAACAATGAGAAGTGGGAGGACTCAAAGCTAATCACAAGCAACTTGACTCCATATATTGGGAAGCTATTTCAAAGGATGAGTTATGTGTCTAGGAATTGCATTGTTCAAGCTGCTAGGGATGCAACTTATGAAGTGCGGCTCAAGGATGACCAGGTTCTAGTTGATTTGGGAAATGGAACCTGTAGTTATTATCATTGGCAGCTTACAGGCATTCCATGTGTGCATGCATGCATGCAAGACCAAAGGTATGATGTTGGGCAGTATGTCCATCCTTATTACAGCATGAACAACTACAGGAGGGCTTATGAGCCTATAATACAACCAATGTCAGGCCCCAAACATTGGGAGAGAGTGAAAATGAGGGAACCTCAACCACCAGCTTTCAAAGTGCAACCAGGAAGACCAAAATTAAAGAAAAGAAAACTGGAGCATAGGAAGGGAACATTTGCAGATGGGAACAACAGAGCAAAAATAGGAAGATCAGTGTAGGAATTGTGGTGGATTTTGGCACTATGACAAGACTTGCAAGCTCCCTTCTATACCTAAACCAAGTGAGTAAAGATCAGTAGGGAGACCACCTTTAAAATCACCATGGGTAGTGGAGGAGAGGAAGAAGAGTGAGATTAGAGCAGCAAAGAAGGTAAAGATTGCTTCATGTTACTAACTTAATACATTTTCTGATGCAATTGGTTGTTGATCCTTTTTTTTGTTTTAAAACAGAGTGCAATAGGGGTAGGACCTAACAACATTGGGAACAGGACATTCCCCCAAGAGCAACCAGGTTTTGAAGAGTAAGAGGAAAGGTTCACAGAGTCAACAACGAGCCTAGCCAAAATCTAAGCAACAAAGTACACCCTCCTCCAATCAACCTTATCCAAGCAGCAAAGAATAAATACAACAAGATAGTGTGCAGGCGAGGAGGGCTAAGCTGCAGACTTTCAAAAATGCAAATTTGACTCAATGAACTGTTGTTGTGTGATGAAATAGACTTTTAGGTTGATATGTTGTGAATTCATGTAATAAACTAACTGTTTGAGGTATTATTTTGAACATACTTTGGTGTTAGGCTTTGAAAGCCTATTTTGTTAAGTTGTGAAACTAATTTTCTTGGTTATGTCAATGGAATGTGGGATGTTTAGGTACTTATTAAATTCATTCCTTGCAAAAGATATCTAGCTTACATTGCAAAAGTAGAAGTCACTGCCACTATAATCCATTACAAAAGCATTAATGTTAACTAACTAATGTTCAACTACACCTTAAGCATTATACAAACTCCTATAACTAGAATCACTAGCATCACTGTAGTAATCCCAACAACAACACAAACAACTGTAGACACTTGATTGTGTCTCCCCAAAAACCAAACCCAGTGATGAGTGCATTTCACGTTTTGATTGACGAGTTCGGCAAAGAGTTGAAGGGTTGCACAAAGTTTCCGTAAGCCTTGACTATATTTTTAACCTTACCCAATGTGTTTTTAATCCAAAAAGATTCATTATCTGTTTTTAATCCCAAAACATTCATTTCGTGTCCTTAAAATTGTTCATTTCGTGCCCAAATTATAAAAATGTCCAAACCAGATTATTTTGGTCCATGTTCCCGGTCCAATTATTGTTTAGTTGGATGGGGCTGAAAAGCTCTTTCCAACGATATATTATAAGCCCAAATCCGACATAAAACGAGTGAGTTATGACGAAAATACCAATAAGTCTTAGCTACACCCTAGTGCAGCTAGGATAGCTGCACCACGAGCTATAAAATGAACATCTAGTAAAAAAATATGAACACGGTAATAAAAATCAACATTTAGTAATAGATAATGAACTCGTAAAAAATATGAACATATAGTACTAGAAAGTGAATACGTTAATAAAAATAATCATTTAGTATTAAAATTGGACATAGTTAATCGTATCATATAATCATAGAATTGTTGGACCACAACCTTCAAAATGACATTTAGTAAAAAAATATATGAACATGTAAAAAAAAGGCGAACATTTAGTAATGAAAAATAAACACGCACAAAAATGAACACGTAAAAAAAATGAATATTTAGTAATAAAAAGTGAACACGTCAAAAAAATATTAACATTTTGTATATTAACAATGAACATTTATCATAAAATCATAATATACCCGGACCATACCTAATAAAATGAACATTTCATAAAAATTTACGAATATATTTAAAAAAACGAACATTTAGTATTTAAAATGAACACGTCAAAAAAAATTATGACCATTTAATATATTAAAAATGAACATGATATTCGTATAGATTCAAGATCATTGTATATAATTAATAAAGAAAAATAAAAATAAAATAAATTGTTTAAAATATGTTCATTTTTTATGTACTAAATGTTCATTTTTAAAGTACAACATGTTCATTTTTTTTATCTTTTTTTTTACAGAAATTATAAGCCACTTCGATTGTAATTGTTCCAACTCTAAAAATTTAAATATAAACCTTAAATCTAATCATGGTTAAGAAAATAATTATCGATCTATAACATGATTGTGAATCAAATGACTAAAAAAATAATAATAAAAAAAGGAGAGAGAAAATGACTAAATTTAATTGATATTCATCTCAAATTAAGCCATTCAATTGATATATATCACAAATTCATAAGAACTCAAATAATTAAACAAAAACTCTAAAAGATCAATAAAATCATAAAAATTACAATTATAAATTGAAATATTTGAGGAGAGAGGGAAATAAGTACTTGAGGATGGAGAAATTTATGGAGAAAGCAATTCATTATGACTTGCAAGCAATCATCATTCATGAGCTTGATTAATTTATTAAGCACTAAAAAAGGAAATAAAAAACAAAATACATTTTTAAAAAGTATATAAATTGCAGAAGGAAAAATATGGAGCAATGGATAATTTGGATCAACAAGTATTGAAGGAGGAGGATAAACGTTGTATGTGTTTTACTAGAAAATAATCGTCTTTAGAGGGTGGTATAGCAAGCTTAGCTGCACAACTATGCAGTTAAGAATCTGAGCCAAAATACTAAACCGAGCCCAAACTAAGCCTGGGTCCACCTTTAGTACGACCAATAATTATATGGAGTCCAAATATTTTCTTTAGGCTCCATATGATCATATTCCTAATCCTAAACCAGTTAGGATCCGCTAGAATCCTCTAGAAGGTTCTAATCTATCCATTTTGAAAATATAAAGATCAAAGAAATTCGAGATTGAATAAAACATCTCATATGATTATCCTTATCCTATTCAAATTCAAAGACGTCTGGATCTATTTCGCATAGAAAACCCATCAGGAACCAAACTCCGTACGAACTTTGTTATCCTTTAGAACCATCGCACAGCGACAGGTCTAACGCATCGGGTCAGCCTTGTCGGGTCGCGACAATGGCCAACGCGTCGCGACAAACCTGTCGCGCTGTGATGGAGAAGTTCTTTTTCTTTCAGAACTTCTGATCTTTTTCTAATCGTTTTCACTCTTTTTTTTCCTCATAAATAGAGGTCGTTTTCCCCAATTTAAAATCAGTCACAATCATCAACCATCAAGAATCATTAGCTACAATCATCATATTCATCCACGCACAAATTCCTAAACATCCATGTTCTTAGCCTAAACACGTCCTTGATTCATCCAAATCATCCACAATACTTCCCTTGCGTGATTCGAATACTACAAACACCACTCGACGTTGTCTTCGACCTCGACGTGAAAGGTAGATAGTTCTGAGAGTTTGGTCCCAAATCTATATTTTAATTATCGATTAATTTAGTTTATTGTTTTCACTTTCTTGAAGCTTACTAACGCGTGTATTATTTTAATAGCAAGAAGGTCAAAACATCAAAGTAAGTAATTTAATTATTTGATTATTCTTTTGATTTGAAATAGAAATCATGTTTAGGATAACGCTTTGATTTTGATTTCTAGTATCATGTTTAGGATAACGTGTTGATTTTGTTATTAGTGACATGCTAGGATTGTTATTAATCCGTTTTGTATCATGCCTAGGATCTTACTACTAACGATATTTTTATGATGTTCTTTTGATGGTTATTTTTATTATATGTTGCTTGAATATTCATGATTTATTACTTGATTATGCCTCTTTTTGCAGGTTTAAAGGGAATTTGTACTTGAAATCGCGCCTAATAAGATAATTAATAATTGGATTTAGGTTTAAGACGATTTTAATTCGAGTGATCACCAATATTAGATTTGATTGTGCATTAATAAGCAACCAACAAGATTAAGCAGGTTTAGGGTTAATTTGATGTGTGTATGTTGATCGAAAAGCGCGCAGGAATATCAATAAGAATAAAGTAGAGGCCTATTTAGGGCGGGTTTGACCTCTTTTAGGTTAAGTTCGTACCATTATCCCCGAACATCCAGTCATGGTTCAGACCACTATGGAGTTAGCAATCTCTGTGATTGTGAATGGGGTGTAACCTTCACAATCGTGAACGGTTTACAAGTTCCTATAACTTGTTGACGACTCTTTTTTCTCTAGCTTATTTTCCTTGGAGCGCCACCATGCCTAAAAACATGACCCACATGTAGGGTGGAGGTGAAAAATTCCCTATGTTAACAGAGTGCTCTGATCCTCCATTTCTTCCTTGTATTTCTCTATTCATCTTCTTTCTGTCAGAGTTCAGAGCCTTGCATATCATCTTCAGACTGTCTACTTCATTAAGCAAACACCTCATCTGTCCACCAAGGTCATCAACTTCCCTTTTGTAGTCACTAATTTCTCCCTTCAATAGCTTTTTATCCAACAACAAATTGTTGATCACCTCTGTTTGCCAGTTACTGGATCATAGAACTTGCACGTTCTGAACTTCCGCCCAGGATTCTCCCTTGTCGAACTGGTAAGCTTAGCAAAAGGAACAAGGAAATTAAACATTTGAAAGACATCTCCTGCATCAATATGCCATCCAGAATAAGCCACAAAAATTTACTCTCACCAACTAAACATTTGAAACAAGGAAATTAAATAATCAGTCCCAAAAATATAAAAAAACCCTCAATTCAATTTTGCGATAAACCCTAACTTCAGTTTTTTGACCAGTTTGGGGATAATTTAAACTACATCATGAATTAAACAACAATTGCATGATTAATTACACAGAACAATCACATTATGCATTTAAATCAACAAAAAATATCAATTTACAACAGATTGAAGAAAGCAAAATTAGGGTTTTTTTTTTTGGAGATTTCACCCAATTACCGTTTTTAAATCTTCCTCCCACGAACAATGTTGTTTAACTCCAACAATTTCTGCACTTTGATTGTTGAATTCGCCAAATTCGAACCCTAAAATTGTGTTACCAGATCAACAAATGAATGACTTCGAAGGAAATCGCAAATATATAAAAGAGTTTGAAAGAAATAGCCGTTGAAGTGGGCCCCAGTAACAGTTCCTCTAACGTAGTATCAATTTAGGTGGTGAAATCAAATTTTCATTTTTTTTATGAGGTGTTATAATAAAACTTTGAAAATTTGTGGTGTTATAATCAAATTTTTGTGTTTTTTTGTGGTGTTATTTTTTTAAAAAAATCCTATTTTTTTATTTTAGTTTTTACATAAATGAAGTGCTAGATATTTACATTTTAATACTACGTACTCCGTATATGTTTTGGAACAAGTAGGGACACATAGAGTATTCGTGTATATATCAACCCCCAATATTCCAATTAAACATATACCAATTTACCAACCTTAAAAAAAAAAGTTACCAACCTTATATTTGGCATGCCCAAAATTTATTTTAGCACACCTTTGATATTGGTCTCGTTAAACTATTAAAGAGAACCCAAGTTACCGATATGGTAAATATAAGGAACTAATACTTGCCCATATAACATTTAGACTCTTCCTCCAAGTGGGAAGGAAACTAGCGGGCTAACCCATGGCCAAATACTAGTCATTTACTGCATGAGATTAAATGAATCTCATGAATATACAAGTTTTTTTCACAGTGATTCTAGTAGTGTGGATACATTATAATAGACTACAATTGGATTTTAATGACGGTTTAATTTAGGATGTTTGGAATCTGGTACTCATATATGAAGATGCTATAATATATTGCTGTATATATAAATTCAACCTTCAACAAAAAATTGCAATACCAATAGCATGCAATTTTGAAGTAGATATTGCCTTTCCCAAATTTAAAACAATGAATCAAGATAGCAATCACAAATTGTATCTGAATTTCCCGAAAATGTATGAATCGGATGATATTATTTTGTAAGAAAAAAGTATAAATTATATTTTATATTCATGAACAACAATATTTACTCACAAAATCTTATAGAAAAAACATAACTGGCCTTATGAAATCTGAAAGGCATACTCATCGATAAAACAATAGCTAATATATTATTTATGCCATTCTTCATTTTTTTAATCTACGAGTACCTACTCTTTTTTTTTTTTGAAGTTGTTATCGTTGCATCTTTGTTTGACAAAATTATTCTCTACTTTACCTCTATTTATTCCACGATTTGTGTGCATTTATATGTATTATTTAACAGAATACATATACATTTTAAGATGACTTTTTCTTGTCCAAAGTGTACAAGCTAAGAATGGATTCACTTTCCACCGTCTCTCTCCCTACTAAAATACAACTTAAGATATAAAAGCGGCTATAAAACGTGCATTGACAAGTGTGAAATTCCCAACGTTGCAATTAAAAAAGAACAGAGAAAGTATATTTTTAGTAAGGAGATTAGAAGTACTACTTTATCGAGCCAAAACCCTATTCAAGTCAATTTGATCAAGGTTAGCGGGTTAGAAATTTTAAGAGTGATGGGGTAGTGTAAGGGACTTTGTCCTCAAAGCGCCCTTTGTGGCATGGGGTTGTGGGGTTGAACCTCTAGGTCAAATTAGAGTTGAAAGGTATAATTTTATTACTATACTAAGCTTAGCATATTTTTCAGGGGTTTGTAAATAATGGCGATGTAAATTTATGAAGAAAAGTACATATGCTTTTGGGTGAATTAGCATTACCAACAAGCTAGGTTATTCCCATAAAATAAAAAAATGCTAGGTTTTTAGTGTCGATCAAGTATATGTTTTTTCACCAACTAACTTAATTGATTTGTTAAAGTGTAACTCGAAATTTAGTAGGGCTGACTTTGAATGCATATATCTCTCAAACTACAAGTGATTTTGAAGAGATTCAAGTTGGAGGTGATAGCTTGTTTAAAGATCTTTCCAACGGTAGGTCATATGCCCAATTTTGATAAGAAACGAGAGAGTTATGGTCGTTTTATGAAAAGTTGACGAAGCTGGAAAGTTGCGACGAGGTTGCGAGCTATAGCTCTATGCGAGTGAGCTATAGCTCGGCCCTATGAAGACTTGAGGCAAGCTTGAGCTAGCTGCTGAGCTATAGCTCGGTAGTTTGGTTCTTTTAGGATAATTTATGGGATATTTCCTAAAATTATATCTTTTCTATGACGGCTATTTGAGTATACTTGGGGAACAATTTATGGTTTTTATTAGGGTTTCTTTGTGTTATAAAAGGACCTTTTAGTTGATCAATTAGATCATACCTTTTGAGCCATTAGATTTAGGAGTTCTTGTATTATTCTCTCGTTTTTTCTCCATTATAGTGAAGAAGCTCTTGAATCCCCCACCCGTGAATGTAGGTCTAATTTGACCGAACCATGTAAATCCTTGCTTGTGTTCTTTGTTTATCTTCTTTATTGATTTTTCTTATTCTCATTTTTCATTGACTTGCTCTGCATTAATAAAACACAATTACAACCTTATTTCCTAACAAATTGGTATCAAAGCTGATGGTTGGGCTGGGCCTCTCGCACCCGTTTCTTAGACGCCGTTGTGTAGGGTCTGTGAGACCAAGACTTGTTTATTGGAGATCTCCTTAGAGGTTATTGTCTACATCCTATTTTACTACATAAAATCTTCTCACTAGGAGTGCTCTGAGGGTTTGGGTGCATTCGTTTCCGCTCAAGGGGGAGTATTTTGAACTCACACTTTAGGGGGAGATTGTTAGGTTGCAAGTGTGAGTTGTTGTCTCACATGGAAAAAAATTAAACAAAGAACCACTAGTTTATAACCTAAGTAAGCTACTCCTCCTATTGCCATATGGTTTTGGGATGAAACCTTACTTGGGTTTATGTGTGGTCTTTCTCTTCTCCTTGTCTTTCCCCCGATTCCTAACAAATTGGTATCTAGAGCTAGATTTTAAGATCTTAGGTCTAGGTGTTTATAGATTAGTTTGATTAAATTATGCCAATGAAATTTGACATTGAGAAATTCGATAGGAAAGTGAATTTTGGCCTATGGCAATTGAAGATGAAGCCATCTTGGTTCAAAGTGGCTGTCACAAGGCTCTTGAAGATGTATCCGAAAAGCCTTTGGACATGACGTTGGATAAGTGGGAGGGAAATCGTTTTGAAGGCTCTTTTGGCAATTCAATTATGTCTCTCTAATGATGTTTTGAGAGAGGTTGCCAAGGAGACAACTGCTGCAGGTTTGTAGTTGAAGCTGGAGTCACTTTATATGACAAAGAGCGTGACCAACTGTCTACTACTCAAATCTAGACTTCATGATCTTCGTTTAGAAGAAGGTAAACCGCTTAAGTCTTATTTAGATGAATTCTTCTCTATTATTATGGATTTGCAAAACATCGATGTTGAGATCGATGATGAGGATATGGCTATTAGGTTGTTGTGTTCTTTACCGCCTTCATATATGCACTTTCGAGATACTTTGTTATATGGTAAAGATGATTTGAGTTTGGAGGATGTTACAGATGTCTTAACCTAGAGAGATTTAATTGACAATAAGTTGGTTAATTAATCTAATAATCCGACTCAAAATAATGCGGCTTTGGTTGCTCATGGTGGTAAGAAATTTGGTAAAGGAAAAGTTTGTAACTATTGTCATCATGTGAAGGGTCATATCAAAGCCAAGTGTCGTAAATTGAAGAAGAAGAATGAGGAGAAGTCCAATGAGGACAAATCCGTAAATATTGCCAACACCGATGATGATGATGATTATTCACTTTAGGGTTACGAGATTCGGGGTTGCGGTTTCTACGATCTCTTTATGATAAGTGCCCTTTTGAGATCTCTTGGTGAAACGAGAAACCGTGTGGATTTTGGTTATGGAGTCTATGATAAATTGCTTTTGATTTTCGTTTTTAATAAAGTAGCAATCTTGGTTATGCATTAGATTTTGTTCTAATTATGCGATTTCTTATCTCAATTTTGGTACTTTTATGTTTTTTTAAGTACAATTGCAATTTAGAAATTCTTGATGTAATTTTATTTTCTAGAATTGCTTAAGTTTTTTAGCTCGGTTTTGAGATGAAGAAGTGTTTGAAGAGAGTTTGGTCAATTTTGATAAGCATGCTTGGCGTCGGGACATTATACTCTCAATTTAGGCCATGTGATGGTTTTGTGTACGGAATTTTTTGTTCGAAGACGCACCTGTTCACAAGTTATGGAAGATGTCCGTTTTGTTGATTGTCTAATGTGAGTGGGCTTATGGAATTTTGTTTAAGGTGGAGGTTTTATGTTTTCTTATGAGCATTACTTCTTGGTTCAAGGTGGAGTTACCTTGTTTTGGTCGATTTCAAGTCAAAGTGGAGATTTGTTAAAGTGTGACTCGAAATCTAGTAGGGTTGACTTTGAATGAAGATATCTCTCAAACTACAAGTGATTTTGAGGTGATTCAAGTTGGAGGTGATAGATTGTTTCAAGAGCTTTCCAACAGTAGGTCATATGCCTAATTCCGATAAGAAAAGAGAAAGTTATGGCCGTTTTACGAAGACTTAACGAAGCTGAAAAGTTGTGACGAGGTTGCGAGCTATAGCTCTATGCGAGTGAGCTATAGCTCGGCCCTATGAAGACTTGCGGCAGGCTTGATCTAGCTGTTGAGATGTAGCTTGGTGGTTCAATTTTTCAAGGATAATTTATGGGATATTTTCTAAAATTATATCTTTTCTATGACGGCTATTTGAGTATACTTGGGTAACAATTTAGGGTTTTTATTAGAGTTTCTGTCAAATTAGATTGAACGGCTTGACTTTCTCATTCACAAGTAAAGAATATATATAGTTACAAGAGATATTCTTAACCCTAACAAGATTAGGAATAAGATAGAATATTAATATAACTAGGAAATCTAAAGATATTATACAATATACCTAATTATTATCTTAACATCCCCCCTTAAGATGGAGCATGTAGATCTCGAATGCCCATCTTGTCAAGGAAAAACTTGAATTGCGCCTTTCCCAAGGCTTTTGTAAAAATATCCGCCAATTGAATTTTCGTGGAAACATATGATGGCTTTATCACACCTTCTTTAATAGCATCTCGAATAAGATGACAGTCTACTTCTATATGTTTTGTCCTCTCATGGAACACCAGATTATTAGCAATATGGAGTGTTGATTGACTATCACAATACATGTTCATGCCTTGCTTATGTTCCACACCCAAAGCTCGAAGTAATTGTTTCAACCATTTCAACTCACATGTCAACCTTGCCATTGACCTATACTCTGCCTCGGTGGAGCTTGTAGAAACTGTGTGTTGCTTCTTAGTCTTCTAGGACACAGGAGACATCCCAAGTAATGCGAACCAACCATTCAACGATCTATAAGTCATGGGATAACTTGCCCAATCCGAGTCACACCATCCTTCCAACTAGAGACTATTATCAGACCTCAGTCGGATGCCTTGACCCGAACATTTCTTCAAATATCTACTACTCTCAATGCTGCCTCCTAATGTGCCTCTTTTGGACATTGCATAAATTATGAAAAAATATGCACCGAATAAGCCAGACCCGGCCTTGTGACTGCCAAGTATATCAGACGGCTAATCAATCGCCTATATTGTTCACCATCTGCAAACTCCTTCCCCTCTGCTAAAGCAAGTTTATGATTTTGCTCCATCAGAAAGTCTACCGACTTTGCTCCTAGTAACCCTGTCTCAGAAATAATATCCAAAGCATACTTACGTTGACACACATAGAAACCATGTTTACTACGTGCCACTTCTAGCCCCAAAAAATATTTTAAGGCTCCCAAATCTTTCATTTTAAAACATTCACTCAAGTATGCTTTAAAACTTTCCAATGCAAATGTATTATTTCCTGCAATCATCATATCATCCACATAAATCAAGAAACTCAACTGCATTACACCCTTCGAAAGAGTGAATAAGGAATAGTCGGAGTAAAACGGTTTAAATCCATATTTCTTCAAAGCTGTGGACAATTTTTCAAACCAACATCTCGGAGCTTGCCTCAATCCGTATAAGGATTTCTTCATCTTGCTGACTTTATCTGAGTTGCCTTTTTGTAATCCCGGTGGTACTTTCATATAAATCTCATCCTCTTAATCGCCGTGCAAGAAAGCATTATGTACATCCATTTGATGTACATCTATCCCAGTTTTTAATCGCTGCAACTGCTAAGAAAGTACGTACCGTAGACATTTTTGCCACCAGAGAAAATGTTTCATTGTAATCGATCCCTTCTTCCTGATGATTACCAAACACCACAAGTCTTACTTTTAATCTGAGCAACTTGCCTTCCTCATCTCTCTTCTCAGTATATACCCACTTACTACCAAGTGCTTTCTTTCCTTCTGGAAGTTTTTCTAAACTCCATGTTCCTTGATCTTCGAGTGCTTTGATTTCAGACGCCATAGCATCTCTCCATCCTGTATGTTGCATTGCTTCCTTGTATGATCTAGGAATTCGTGCCTCTGTCACTGCAACAATGTAATTCCTATGTTTTTCGGAAAAAACGATCATAATTAACAAAATATGTTATTAAATAGGGAGTACCTGAGAACGGTGATATGGTGGATGAAGATGAGACTTTATTTTTTCGAATGGTATGTGTGACGCAATCTCGCAATTTCTTCGAAGGAAATTTCACTCTCTTCCCCCGACCCAATTCCTCTTCCTTCGTACCTATTCTAACTCCTTCGCCCCCCTTATCCTCGAGCTGCGAGGCCTGCTGTTTGGAGCTGAAATGCGGCTAACTGCTTGCAGTGGGTTGGTGCTGACTTCCTGAGGTTATGTCCTGCCTTGCGGGACTGCCTCGGGGTTGTATCCTGCTCTGCTCCCGCTGGAAATCCAGCGTCTAAACCAGACGCAGCAGCTGCGATGTCCTGCGGGCGCTGGTCGGCCTGCGCGCATTGGTTTTCCAGCAGGCTGACCAGACGCACCAGCCGTGGGATGCTGCGGGCTGCCTGCGGGCGCTGGTTCATCCCCACCAGCCTGCTCTCCTTAAATCTCCTCATACACTCCCATTAAGTCTCCACCATGCCACGCATCAAACTCGTCCCCTACTACAAATTCATCCATATTCACAATTGTCGAATTCCCACTATTATCTTCTACAAACTCCCCAAATGGGTACACCCGTTCATGAAATTGCACATCTCGAGACACGAAGTACTCCTTTGTCTCTAAGTCAAATAGTTGCCACCCCTTTTTGCCAAATGGATATTCAAGAAACACACATTTCCTACTCCGAGACTCAACCCTTACTTTGTTGATTATGAGCATAACACAAACAACCAAATACTCTAATAGAATCATACGATGGAATCTTTCCAAACAACATCTCATACGGTGTTTTATTTTGGATAACCGAACTCGGAGTTCGATTAATAAAATAACAAGCAGTCAAAGCACATTCTCCCCAAAATTTTATAGGTAATCGTCCCTGAAGCCGCAAAGCACGAGCAACATTGAGAATATGTTGATGTTTCCTATCTACTTCCCATTTTGTTGTGGGGTACCCACACAAGAAGACTAAAAAATAATCCCATTTCAAACAAAATAGTCTTGAAGATGATTAAACTCGGTACCATTATCACTCCGAACAATCTTAATAAGTCTATCAAATTGACGCTTAATTAAAGCAATTAAGAAATGTAGATTCAACCTCTGTTTTATTGCGAATTAAATAAATCCATACACCTCTAGAATAATCATCAACAATTGTTAAAAAAATACCTCGCCCCACATGACGAAGGCACCTTGTATGGATCCCATAAATCAATATGAACTAACTCAAATAAACTACTAGCATTATTTTCACTAAGAGGAAAACTATCTCTAGTTTGTTTTGCACGTGGGCATACATCACAAACACTTTTATTTTTTCTAACAAAGTTACTCACAGGGGGAAGTAACTTTAACACTTTTTCTGACGGATGTCCCATACGTTGATGCCAAAGATCTACCTCACAATCCTTGCTAGCACCTTCACTTGCGGCACACCTCGGAAAAAATAAAGTCCATCTTTTCTCTCCCCCTACGCCAATCACTGTCCTCGTCAACTGGTCCTGAATAACACAAATTTTGTACATTGTAACTCATCGCTAAGTTGAGTAACAAAAATCAGGTTACAATTCAAATTCACAAATAAAACATTGTCAATCACCAAACCACCGTCTAAGGTGACCGAACCCAATTGATTCACATTCACCGTTTGACCATCCGGTAAACCAACCGGACAATTTTGTATTGTCTTGACATTTCTCATGAGAGATATGTCATTAGTGACATGATTAGAAGCTCCCGTATCCACAATCCATAATACTCTGGCATTACCTTCCAACCGTGGCTTATGAATATCAATGATTTGCTGTGCTTGTTCTGTTGAAACTCCTACAAGGCTTTGAGTGGGATTTGTTTGTGAGGATGATGCACTCCCAGAGCTGGAATTCGTCCCCCTTGGACTGCATTAGCACGAGCAGCAGCAAGAGATCCACTTGACAAAGTATTCCCACGACCATAGCCTCCTTTACCTCCACGAGTACTAGAGCCGCCTCTACCACGACCTCTTCTTCCTTTCCGATTCTCATCCCATCCTTCCGAGAAACCGATGATCTGATAACACCCCTTCTTCCAATTCCCCATATGATTACAATGAGTGCAAAAAGGTCGGTCACCATCCCCCAATTCTTCTTTATCGCGAGACACCACCTTAAACACCATGACATTTTCTTTTGGTTTCCCATCTCGAACCCGCAATCTCTCGGTGTTAATCACCATTTGATATGCATTGTCAACTAGGGGCAATGGTGATTATGCTAATAATTGAGCACAGATTGCTTCATAGGGATCATCAAGTCCCATAAAAAATAATGGAGATATTCCTCCTCACGAATCTCTGTAACCTGCCTTGCAATGTTACACTTACATAAACCACAGGAGCATTGTGGAACACGACAATATTGCACCAATTCTTTTCCAAATTTTTGACAAACGAACGAAATAATCAGTCAAAGACTCGGAAGAAGCCTGTTTACATTCTCCTAACGATTGTTTCAACTAGCAAATACGAGTCCCACTCACCACACAATATCTTTGCTTGAGATGCTTCCACAATTCACTAGCAATATCAAAGTCTTTAACTTGTGAACGTATGCCATCCTCAAGTGTGTTTGTAATCCACGAAACAAGCATGGAGTTTACAGCAACCCAATGCTTCTTCTTCACCATATCAGTCGGCTCTAATATGGAGCTATCAATGAAGCCAAACTTGAACTTTGCGATCATCGAACGGCGAACCGCTTTAGCCCAATCATCATAGTTTGGTCCCTTCAATTTCACAGGGGTTATAACCACTCCCAGATGATCACTTGATCCTAGATAATAGTCTAAGTCAACCGGTGGTGGAGGTGGAGATTGATCGTCATCCATCGCCATCTCTCATGGCCCTCTGTATTTCCTCATGTAAATTTATTTATTTATATTTTTTTTTTTCAACCTAGGCTCTTGATACCATGTCAAATTAGATTGAACGGCTTGACTTTCTCATTCACAAGTGAAGAATATATATTTACAAGAGATATTCTTAACCTTAACAAGATTAGGAATAAGATAGAATATTAACATAACTAGGAAATCTAAAGATATTATACAATATACCTAATTATTATCTTAATAGTTTCCTTTTGTTATAAAAGGACCCTTTAGTTGATCAATTAGATCATACCTTTTGAGCCATTAGATTTAGGACTCCTTGTATTATTCTCTCGTTTTTTCTCCATTATAGTGAAGAAGCTCTTGAATTCCCCACCCGTGGATGTAGGTCTAATTTGACCAAACCACATAAATCCTTGTGTTCTTTGTTTATCTTCTTTATTGATTTTTTTCGTTCTTATTTTTCATTGATTTGTTCCGCATTAATCAAACACAATTACACTCTTATTTTTTAACATGTTAAATTCTTGCGGGTGATATCCAAATTCAAGATCAAAATCACTGCAAAAGTAGCAACATTTTTTTCTTTGCATTTTGGAAACTGAAAATAGAACAAGAAAGCTATAACCTTTTATTTCATAAGATAACTAGTACAATACAAATTAAAGATAAACAAAAGTTATATAATCACTTTTTATTTGCATTCTTAATGGCTAATATTAAGTCAAATATGCTCTTTTAGTTATCCACACGAGGATAATATCTGTGTTTTCATTTTAATGGAACTAACATGCATACTGAAATAGAAATCATTAAAAAGATAATAAATGTCACCGCAATTTCAAACGCGTTGGAAAAAGTCAACGGTAAAGCACTCTAGTTTTATTAATGGGTGTCTAAACATGCTAATGGATGGTAAGATAATATACGTTGTGGATCTTACTAGAGTCAAAAGACTCAATTTGTAGATTTTATATATCTATCAAAATAATGAAGTCAATGGGTCAATTTTAGTGCTATTCATAAAGGTTTAAATCAACTTCCTATGTGGCTAAACTAGCTACAACCTATAATTTTTGGTAGCATGTATTTTCTATCTATCCATGTTAGGATAGAAAAGGCAGTTTGGGACAGTTGGGTAGCCTTTCGACTTGCCAATATGTGATTCGATCAAGTACAATTCTTACTAGTGTTACTACCAATCGAGTATATATATTTAGTTTTGAAGTCAATTATTTCTCTTTTTCTTTTTGTTAAAACGTGTATTCATCTTACCATATAAAGAGTAAAAATTAGTAATAGAGCATGGAAAGAAAATATTTTGTCCTACTCTACGACCGTTTGCATGGCATTTGTCATTCGTTCTAATTTATTCTTTTAACTATATGTTTCTCTCAATTTTAACTTGTTTTTCATAATTAACATCTTTTTGTGTGATAAAATAGGTCAAAGTAAGAAGAGCAATATAAAACAAATGAAATATAAACTTTTGGAAAAATTTGTCATAAAATATCATAATTACTCTTAATACAAAAAACTACCTCATAATTTGACCAGTGACATTATGTATTGGTGAGCTATTAAATCTATGTTCATGATACCATAAATCATACTTTAATTTTGTGATATTGATTTCTTCTTGCATGCACAATCAATCCTTTTCATTTTAACTCGATTTGTAATTATAAGCACTAATCCAATTATTTTGCGTTACACAACTTGATTTGTGGTTGAGACTACTCATACAACATAGACCGTAGATGTGTGTTTCTTTATTACTAGTCAAGCACGAATTGAGTAAACTTGTGGAATTGTTTAAGGATAGGAAAGAGATATTTAGGTTTGTAACTTAGTTTTTGCTCTACATTTTACTCAATGTCTCATAGACTAACAATAAACACATTTTTTTTTTTTTTTTTTTTTTTTTTTTTTTTTTTTTTGCAATAAAACATAAAATATCTGGTCCCTAATAATAATCAAGCTACAAAGTTCCCAGAATAATATGGGATTTTTCCTTACTTGTGTAGTTATGGATGTCCGTATAGTCGTATATATATATAAGATGTTATAGAGGCTTATATACTTTCTTTTTAAGGCATTCTCGAATTTTATCTACAAAATTTTCTCTGAACAAGAGACAATTATAACATTTTTCTCAATATAAAAAGGATCAGTCATCTCTAATTAGATATTTTAATTTTACACCTCCCTTTTATTTAAAATCAGATACCTCTTAATTGCACTTTGCATACTATACTTCATCGAATCATTGTCTCATCATCAACAACTTGACACCATTTTATTGAAACTACTACAAAATTAACACCATAAACTTCAACTTTAGACTACTAAGCTATGAGCATGAATAATCAAAATTTAGCAAAACGGTAAGGCCTAGGAATGACTTATCTAGCCGGAAAATGTAGTAACCTGTCATCAAACCAAAGAAATACTATATCATAAGGTGCTCCCATTTATCTAGATAGGTAATATAAAAGGCGAATGAGACTTTTATTTGGGAACAAAGGAAGTACATAATTAGAGGTATCAGTAAACAAAAACAAATATATGCGCAAAGTCTAATTAAACAGGATTAAATTTAAAGATAGATCGATCGTAATATTTACTCAGTGGTTGGAAAGGAGGAGGAGGGTGGTAACTGGTAAGTACCCAAAATCAGCCTCAAAATCCCCACAATTATCATCAAAGCTTGACATATCAACCACTCTATTTGAGCTTGACATCCATCCATCAAACACTATGGGAATTATATTATGGGAATTGCCGTCAAACACTATATCCCAATGCAAATTATATAAATTCTTGTACTAACACCCATATTTTTTTTTTTTATAAGTGGTAAAATAATTATGTTGAACAAGACTAATTCTTAGAGAGAGAAAAATTTGCGTGAATTTCCATTATTTTAAGATGGCCCCTCCATCACTTCAGGCACTTGTGCTTCCCAAAACCACCCCCTTTTCACATCTTTTTCCGTGGTCAACCTTTATATAATTCTTTCTTTGACAATCTGCTGTTTTTATTAATTTAATTTAATTAATTAAAATAATTAACTAATTGATTAATTAATTAATTCTAATATTTAACTTAGTATTTGTTGCCATTCCTTTTCTATTCCTTGAACGTAAAGGCAGCTTCTTTGTACCCTTTTTGTCATCAACCCTCCCTCGTTTTCTTCCTTCCTCTCTTTCACACTATTATCTCATATACTCTATATGCATCAACCATTCAAACCCTCCACGTCCTCTTATTAGCTTGATCGCGACTACTAAAAAAAGGGTCTTTAGTATCACAAATTTCGAAAATATATATTAAACCCCTAAAAGCCGATACTTTAGTATCATCATCCTCATTGAATAAAAAAAAATAACAAAATATATATACTCCCTAGCTCAATGCTTTCTTTTTCTCTCTCTAAATTTTTTCATATCCATGACATTCAAAAAGTCTCTTCCATTATTAGTCTTATTACTATTACTTTCTCTATTGTTTTTACTATATCATAATGATCATAGTAATAGTATTAACAATAACAATAATAAAAATTATTATGCCCATAATTTGAGAGTTGATCATAGGAAAATGCTTGAGAGTAATACTAATACACAGTTGTTTGATTTTACTCCGTTCAAGGGGCACCATCGCAAGCACGTCCCCGTTCGATCCGAACCCGAGATCGACCCGCTTTTTGGAGCTCAGAAACGGCTCGTTCCTACCGGTCCAAACCCTTTGCACCATTGATATATTCATTTTAAGGTTCTTACTTTTTTACTTAGCTTTTGTAGAGTTTTTTCTTTCTTTCTTTTTGTATTGATACATGATATATGTTGTTAATTAATTACTTTTATTTAGAATCTAAATTTTGTTCTCATCTATAGTTAGTACTTTTCAATTTCTTCCCAATTAATTTTCTAATTTGGGTCTTTTAATTCAATAATGTATGATCCTATTCCTTTACATAATTTAAAGACAATAAGATCTTAATTAGTATAGTCTTTTTTTTTTTTTTTTTTGACAGGAATTAGTATAGTCTTTACATTTACCTTTTTATATATATATTTTTATTTTATAATTGTAAGAATCATATCATCATTGCTTGATTTGATTATTTTATGTTAATTATTTCAAATTTGTATGTTTTCGCTATTTTTCTTTGGATTTCATTTGGAAATTTTATTAATATTATTTTGGGGCCAATAATTCATTAGATTATCAATGCAATTATTACCTTCTACGTTCATGATCACCAAGTTATTTTAATTTTTTTTATTTGTAATTTTTTTTTTTTTGGGTGAAAACGATCACTAAGCTATATGCATATGGGG